TTTTTTCCTCCATACATATATTGCTAGCTGAAGTGTTTCTCTGTTTTCTTTTTATTAGACATTCGTTTTTTTTCTATTTGTTCTCTCCTCTATATTTATTCATTGACATGATTTGTGTCAGTTTTATTGCCGCTATGTATGATGATGATGATTGTGAAGCAAAAAAAAAAAAAATGATTTTGAATAGGAATATTTGTTTATGGGTAGTTGTGTATGAATTTACAAGGAAACCATTAACAAATACAATCAGTAAATATACAGTGCTTTTTTCTCTTCTTTATTCAATCATAAATATTTTCAAACCAAACTATTGAGTCACTAACATTACACAAACACTCCAGCAAACTACGATTCCCCTTATAGAGAAAAATTTTACGAAAATTTACTATAAAAACAAAATTAAAATATTTCTATAAAAATTTTACGAAAATTTTCTAAAAAAAGAAAATTTAACGAAAATGTTCAAAAAAAAAACAAAATTTAACGAAAATTTTCTATAAAAAGCAAATTTAACGAAAATTTTCTGTAAAAAAAAAATTCTATAAAAAGAGAATTTAACGAAGATTTTCTTTAAAAAGAGAATTTAACGAAAATTTTCTATAAAAAGAAAATTTAACGAATATAATAAAAAAAAGAAAATTTAATGAAAATGTTCTAAAAAAAGGAAATTTAACGAAAATTTTCTATAAAAAGAAAATTTAACGAAAATTTGCTATAAAAAGAAAATTTAACTAAAATTTTCTATAAAAAGATAATTTAACGAAAATTTTTTACAAAAATAAAATTTAACAGAAATTTTCTTTCTATAAAAAGAGAATTTAACGAAAATTTTCTATAAATAGAGAATTTAACTAAAATTTTCTATAAAAAGAGAATTTAACGAAAATTTTCTATAAAAAGAGAATTTAATGAAAATTTTCTATAAAAAGTGATTTTAATGAAAATTTTCTAAAAAAATAAAATTTAAGGAAAATTTTCTATAAAAAGAGAATTAACGAAGATTTTCTAGAAAAAGAGAATTTAACGAAGATTTTCTATAAAATGAGAATTTAAAAAAATTTTCTATAAAAGAGAATTTAACGTAGATTTTCTATAAAAAGAAAATTTTACGAAGATTTTCTAAAAAAGAAAATTTTACGAAGATTTTCTATAAAAAGAAAATTTAACAAAAATTTTCTATAAAAAGAGAACTTAACGAAAATTTTCTGTAAAAAGAGAAATTAATGAAAATGTTCTATAAAAAAAGAATTTATCGAAAATGTTCTATAAAAAGAGAATTTATCGAAAATGTTCTATAAAAAGAAAATTTATCGAAAATGTTCTATAAAAAGAAAATTTATCGAAAATGTTCTATAAAAAGAAAATTTATCGAAAATGTTCTTTAAAAAGAGAAGTTATCGAAAATTTTCTATAAAAAGAAAATTTATTGAAAATTTTCTATAAAAAGAAAATTTATTGAAAATTTTCTATAAAAAGAAAATTTATTGAAAATTTTCTATAAAAAGAAAATTTATTGAAAATTTTCTATAAAAAGAAAATTTATTGAAAATTTTCTATAAAAAGAAAATTTATTGAAAATTTTCTATAAAAAGAAAATTTATTGAAAATTTTCTATAAAAAGAAAATTTATTGAAAATTTTCTATAAAAAGAAAATTTATTGAAAATTTTCTATAAAAAGAAAATTTATCGAAAATTTTCTATAAAAAGAAAATTTATCGAAAATTTTCTATAAAAAGAAAATTTATCGAAAATTTTCTATAAAAAGAAAATTTATCGAAAATTTTCTATAAAAAGAGAAGTTATCGAAAATTTTCTATAAAAAGAGAAGTTATCGAAAATTTTCTATAAAAAGAGAAGTTATCGAAAATTTTCTATAAAAAGAGAAGTTATCGAAAATTTTCTATAAAAAGAAAATTTATCGAAAATTTTCTATAAAAAGAAAATTTATTGAAAATTTTTTATAAAAAGAAAATTTATCGAAAATTTTCTATAAAAAGAAAATTTATCGAAAATTTTCTATAAAAAGAAAATTTATCGAAAATTTTCTATAAAAAGAAAATTTATCGAAAATTTTCTATAAAAAGAAAATTTATCGAAAATTTTCTATAAAAAGAAAATTTATCGAAAATTTTCTATAAAAAGAAAATTTATCGAAAATTTTCTATAAAAAGAAAATTTATCGAAAATTTTCTATAAAAAGAAAATTTATCGAAAATTTCCTATAAAAAGAAAATTTTCTATAAAAGGAAAACTTATCTAAAATTTTCTATAAAAAATTTCTCGAACATTTTCTATAAAAAGAAAAATTTATGAAAATGTTTCTATGAAAGAACATTTATCGAAAATGTGTTGTAAAAAGAAAATTTATCAAAAATTGTCTATCATCAAAGATTTATTCTGCTAAGAAAAAATTTATTGAAAATTTATGGAAAGTTTTTTAGTTTTAGAATAAATGTTTGTTGGGTTGAGTTGAGTTGTACGAATGTGTTTTGTTAGGTGGGTTTTGTTTTTTATTCTTTATTCTTGTTGTTTTTATCACAAATTCATCAAATGACAAATGCTGCATTTTTGTGTTTATTTTTTTGCATTCACAATGTTTCTATATATATTTTTTCTTGTAGTTTTATTATTATTGTTACTGCCAGTTTATAAATTATTTTTCCTGTTTTGTTCGTTATGGGTTTTAAAGGAAATTTTTTTAGTTTTTCTTGTCATTTTTCTTTTCTTTCGAAAAAAAAAAATATATTTCTTTCGTATTATTTTGTTTTTGCTGCCAGTATTTGATTTGTCAAATGCTTTATTATTCTTGTAGCTGTTGTTGTTTCTATACATAATCGTATCATTTGTTTGTAGGATAAAGTTTGTGTGTGTGTATTGGTGTTGTATGTGTTTGTATTGTATAATCATTTTCTATTTTTTTTGTGCATTTTACTGATTTCCTTTTTACATGCAGGATTCTTCATTCTCATGTCACTTTGTCACACAATGCATTTTTCAGTTTTTTTTTTCTTTTCTTTATCCTGCAAACACTCTCACATTTAAACATTTGCATAAAATTTTAAACTGTGTGAGTGAGTTTGGGTATGTGTGTGTGTTTATAAGCTTAATTTCAACTTGACTTTTACTTGTCTGATTATTTTGCCTTTTTATGTTTTCAATTGTCGTAATGTCGACATTAATATTCTTGATTTTTCCCTCAGTTTTGCCGCTTGGTTTCTTTATAAATTTTCAAATTACAAAAACTGTTGTTTTACAAATGTATATTTGTCTAATATGAGTTGTAAATAGAAATTTTAGAATTTAAATTATGAATTTAAATAGGATATTATTTAAACAAATTTCTGCAATAAAAATGTTAAAATAAATTTTGTAAAATCTTTGTAAAATAAAGAATTTTCGATAAATTCCCTTTTTATAGAGAATTTTCGATAAATTCTCTTTTTATAGAGAATTTTCGATAAATTCTCTATTTATAGAGAATTTTCGTTAAATTCTCTTTTTATAGAGAATTTTCGTCAAATTCTCTTTTTATAGAGAATTTTCGTTAAATTCTCTTTTTATAGAAAATTTTCAATAATTCTCTCTTTATAGAAAATTTTCTTAAATTTTCTTTTTATAGAAAATTTTCGAAAAATTCTCCTTTTCTTGAGAATTTTCGATTAATTCTCTGTTTATAGAAAATTTTCAATAATTCTCTCTTTATAGAAAATTTTCGATAAATGCTCCTTTTATGGAGAACTTTCGATAAATTCTCTTTTTATAGAAAATTTTCGAAAAATTCTTCTTTTCTGGAGAATTTTCGATTAATTCTCTGTTTATAGAAAATTTTCAATAATTGTCTCTTTATAGAAAATTTTCGATAAATATCTTTTTATAACAAATTTTCGATAAATTCTCTTTTTATAGAAAATTTTCGATAAATTCTCTTTTTATAGAAAATTTTCTATAAATTCTCTTTTTATAAAAAATTTTCGATAAATACTCTCTTTATAGAAAATTTTCGATAAATTCTCTTTTTTTATAGAGAATTTTCGATACTCTTTTTATAGAGAATATTCGATACTCTTTTTGTAGAGAATATTCGATAAATACTCTTTTTATAGAGAATTTTCGATAAATTCTCCTTTTATAGAGAATTTTCGATAAATTCCCTTTTTATAGAGAATTTTCAATAAATTCTCTTTTTTTATAGAAAATTATCGATAAATTCTCTTTTTTTATAGAAAATTATCGATAAATTCTCTTTTTATAGGAAATTTTCGATAAATTCTCTTTTTATAGGAAATTTTCGATAAATTCTCTTTTTATAGGAAATTTTCGATAAATTCTCTTTTTATAGAAAATTTTCGATAAATTCTGTTTTTATAGAAAATTTTCAATAAATTCTCTTTTTATAGAAAATTTGAGAACTCCTGTCGAAAATTTTCGATAAATTGTCTTTTTATAGAAAATTTTTGATAAATTGTCTTTTTATAGAAAATTCTCTTTTTATAAAAATTTTCGATAAATTCCCATTTTATAGAAAATTTTCGATAAATTTTCATTTTATAAAAAATCTTCAATAAATTCCCTTTTCATAGAAAATTTTCGATAAACTGTCTTTTTATAGAAATTTTCGATAAATTCTGTTTTTAAGAAAATTTTCAATAAAGTTTCTTTTTTAGCAAATTTTCGATAAATTTTCTTTTTATGGAAAATGTTCTATAAATATTAATTTTATAAAAAAATTTTTATAAATTTTATTCATAAACTCATTTTTGCCTCAAACCAATTAGGTATCATCCTTTCCCCTAAAGTAGGCATCAGGTTTTATCTTATTTATGTTATAATTTTAATTAAAGATTTTATCTTAAATTTATACACTCAAGTTAAACATCACATAAAATTTTAAATTTTACAATCCTCCAAAAAAAAAATTATCAAACACATACATAAAATCTTTGCAAATTTCCCTATAATTTAACTAACATCAAACATATTTTTTCGTATCTCTTTTTAGTCTTCAGTATTGGTGAAAAGTGACATTGATACCACACAGTCAATAGCCAGTAATGCCGGTGGCGGTTCTGGTGGTGGAGGTGGTATAGTAACAGCATCTTCCACATTATCCTCAACAACCACCGCTTCATCATCCGCCGCCGCAGCAGCGGCCGGTAATAATAATAATAATGTATCCTCAAGCCAAAGTCAAGCCATCAATGGCACCACAAATACACTCGCTACCGCAGGCGGTACAGCTACAGATGCCAATAGTAATCTTAGTAATAATAACAACAGCACTAACAACAACAGCAACAACATAAGCACAACGAATGGCATCTCATCATCCACCAGCAATGGAGAATTACTAACACCCACTCAGCAACAACAACAGCAGCAGCAACAACAACAACAACAGCAATTAATAGCCGCTATTAGTCAACATCAACAACAGCAGCTACAGCAACTAACAACAGCCGGCAATGTGATTGCTGCCACCTCCGTAACAGCCACTTCAGCTGCCACTGGCCTTTTACCGGCCGTTATGTCAACACCCAATCAAGCTGGCATTGTTAATACCTCATCGATAATGACATCAATGGTGGCTGGTGGTGTTTTAGCTCCATCATCGAGTACAGCTCAAGTGATGGCAAATTTAAATGCTGCCGCAGCTGCTGGTATTATGACATCGGCTACACCAAATACACCTGTGGCAACTAGTCTATCAAACGCTCTAGTCCCTCTGCAACATCAACAACAGCAGCAGCAACAACAACAGCAAACTACATGTACCACCGTTGCAACAATAAATTCTTCAAATGATGCCAAAAATACACCAAAACGTTTGCACGTTTCAAATATACCCTTTCGTTTTCGTGATCCCGATCTAAGAGCCATGTTTGGGGTGAGTAT